AGTCTGCCGGTGTCAATGCGCGCACAACATCGTCGCCGGCGTCCGCCAAAGCGCATCCGAAGGTCAGCACATACAAGTGCATGATCGGTGTCAACATCTGTGCTCCAAATCGAGCGACAGTTCTGGACGCAGCCTCTCCAGCGGTAACTAATAGCAATGTGATCGATTTGCGTCCATAGCTGGTTCGAGGCTGGTGGGCGCCAAGTCACCGTCCGGTTGGTGCTGTGTCGGAAACTAGTCCTCGCAAGAAATAAGCGAGCATCCTCACACAAATGAAGCAACCGCTCACCGTTATCATTAGGGGAGCCTATACCATGTTGGTCGCCCAGATGCAGCTCATGTGTGGATAATTTTCCAACCTAAGCGTTCAGATCCCCAGCCAGCACTACAGTGTCCGAGCTCCTTCTGTGGCGAAGGAGTTCGTTCAGTTGGCGATAGAAGTCGTCTTTTAACGAGTCATCGCTACAGTTTATCGGTGCATAGGCAGTGATAACGAATAGACACCTGTTAGTCCCACGCGACTTCGAAGTTTGAACGAGCCAGCCAATCGGACCGCACACATCCGGCTACTTATTGGAATCCAGTCAACCAGAGCAGCTTCAGCTCGGGGACTCAGGGCAATACCAACACCGGCATGGCCGGTGCTCGAAGCTGCATCGTCACCGGATAGACGCAATGAGAAAGTGCTGAGTGAGTACAGAGCTCGAGTCTTGCAGGCGGGTCTCCGATAAGCAGCAGATATCGATGGAGAGGGTCTCTGATGTTCGGGCAAGTGCTGCCTGTTGACTGATCTGAAGCAATGTGCGAACATTGAGGCATGCCAATCTGAAGGAGGATCGAGGGCTCCAAATGGAAGTCGATGAACTGGGCTTGGCCGCTTGGTTGGACATGGGCCTGTTGACAGTGCAGGAATGACGCTCTGCGTTCACCTGTGAGTTGAAACTAAAAGACAAGCGACTATTGAAGCAAGGTGGGGGAGGGCCGAGAATTGGGGGGTTGAAAACAGGGGGGATAAAAGTGAAGCTGGAACAGGACGATATGGGTGAAAAAGCGCAAGAAGGGGAATAAGAAGATGGGAAGGTTTGAGCAGTAGTATCCAAACCCCTATCCACCCTGCTCGGTGCAGCAGATAGGGCACCGTTGATTATCCTCTGCGGTGGCCAGAGCATCAGCAATTTGGTGAAGTGTGATTCATTGTATTGCGTGGGCAGGATACTGTCAGGTTGCCCAGGCCTAGACAGGAGAATGATTAGGGTTCTCAACCAAAGCCTTTTGTTAAAAAATACCTGACCGCAAGGCAGCGGGTTTGGCACTGAACTACAAGGAGTCCGTTTTAAGGAATAAGGAGCCATCCTCATTCCAACCTCCAACCTGGAGGACCAGGAGGCTGAGTTTGTCTGACCTCTAACCATTGACCACTCTGGTATGAGTGGCTCTGAAAGTGCAAAAGCACCACCCAGTATAGCTCAATGGATCACTGAGGCACACAAACCATCGCACCACGGTAAGGTCCGTCCTCATTGCGATGGTCGAGAACACCATGGAAAAGGGTCGATCTTTCTTCGGTACGCTTGCGATATTCTCCTGGTCTTGCTTCCTTTGCTGGCGCTCGGATATACTGAAACATACGAACGTCTCATGACGAGGCACGAAGCCGAGACAAATACGGTGAACTAACACGAAGACGGTATCCGCTTTGACACCTGATTGAAATATCACCTGAAGTAACTTTTGCTTGCCATAGTGAACTGAATTTGAGTCGCGGACGATGAGAAACAAACTAGCCTGTTTGACTTGGATTACCATTGCTTAACAAATACATACCCAGTGTTTCAGGTGGTTCAATAAGTTATCGTTGAGAACGTTCGCCTTAGGCTAAAACAGGTTAGAAAACATTAACTTCCCCGAACCCTGCGTCTTTCTATTGCTCATATTTTTGGATTAGTGTTTTCTTTTTCTGATGACGCGGTAGGCGGCCTTGTTGGAATTCGTATCATTTATCTCCAATTTCGAGGTGCCTTCAGATCTGGCTGCAAATGTTCCTTTGGGTCTTCATATAGCGATGACAGATGCGTATGTTTTCAGAATTTCGGTAGTAGTAGATACATCCGAATACAATAGCGTATTTTGTGACACAGACAGTAACAGAAAAGACCACTGTTTGAAAACTTGGGGTCGCCGCAGTTGGAAGACCCTGGTCGCCGGCCTGTTTGCTATTTCTCATGATTGGGGTTGCTTGCTCCACGCTGTAAACTAAACGCATGCCTTGGTTATTTGTTTCCAAGTTTGAGCAAAGTTTGGGCAACGTGAATCGAGTTCTGCTGAAGTTGTTTTCCATGGGACTGATATATCAGCCGTAGCACACTGCATAATCGCTGTCAGTTTGTCACTTTTCTGTTCCAGCACGGCGGTGCACTTTACGAGTGGGTTGCTTATGCACTCGGTACGGAACGAACGACAGCCTGGCATGCAATATCGTCCTTTTACTTACACTTAAATTGACACAACTGGGATGGAATTTCTCACCGCCGTTACAACATGTTATTCCAATTCGAATAGTCTTGCAGTACGAGTTCGAATCGCAAAGGTGTTTTTTCTGGGCTTCGTGGACCATGTACACCTTATTTTCCTTGTTGCTGTATTGCGAACAATTACCGAGGCGTCAGCCACGTGGATAAAGTGTGAGCACCTTTTCTTTATCAGCTAGCAACGCAACAAGGGTGTTGGAATAGGCAAGCGATGCCGGTTGACAATCGCTTGTTGGTGGGTTCAAACATGTCAACAAAACCGACGGATAGCAACGCGCGTCCTACCTGGTGTAGGCAGTGGGCGCTCGGCTATCCATCAGACCGGGTTTCTACCTGGTGGAACGTTGAGCTTTGATGAATATTGTAAAATTTACACTAGTTTGGCGAGTGTTAGGATGATGGTTGTTAAAATAGTTGCGGTCATCAGATGGAGTGTCTGAGGTTTGTGGTAGCGGAATCGCTAGATAGTGCTAAGAGCACTCTGTCGAATGAGGGTTAAAAGGATGGTATGCACTGGAAAAGGAAGTTGATGCGCGCCTGTGTTTCCTTTGAAAGCAGGCTAAAATTGCAGTAACGGATGCAACCGTGGTGTGTTGTAAACAATACTACCTTGATTGATCCACTGGATGGCGCTGGTAAATCCGAGTTGGATGAGTATAAGCACAGTACTGGGCGTCAAGAATTATAGGCAGTAAGTCCAAAAACAGAGCGGCATTAAGTCAGTATGACTACTCAGAGTGGCGTGAAGCGGAAGTGCAGCGTCGCATGATTGTTACGTCCATGTGATGCATCTGTGGTTATGGTTTTGAAATTAGTTGTTCGTTGGTGAACACTAGGTATAAAACAGATAGTTCTTCACTCGTTCTGAATAGTGTGAGAGCCGACATGGTTGCTTAGCGGCCAGTCGACGATTATTTTCCGCTTGTTTTAACTAAAAGCCGTTAAGTTTTACCGGCCTTGGAAACGACACGTATCACAAAGGTCTGCAGCAGTCCCAGTAGTTCCTTTGCCTTCACTAGCCCACAAACCACAGCTGCAATCTTAACATCCTCCGCTCGTTCAGCCTCGGCTACAACTAATTTAACCAAGCGCGATTCGATTAGTACTCTTGTTGTACCTGGCAGTTACATGATCAGCATGTATTTCAGCATGCATACAGGGTGGTTCGGCTTTGTGCCTCATAAGGTCGTCGAGCAGTAATTTAACTATACTGACGATGTGTGCGTCAACTGCATTGGACATGGCCCGGCTCTCAAATCTTGTGTTTACTCACCACTGGTTTTCTAACCTTTTTACACAATAAGGGCTAACTAGCAAAACCAGCCAGTGCGCGTCACTACTCGCTATCACTTTTACTTGAGACATGCTGCCTTCAACGGCACCTGGCATATTAGTAGTTTGTGTTAGGAACTGGTTGACTCTCCTTGATTGGTCTCAAGCACATCTAACGGTTCTTTATCCATGGCTCAGCCCGGTCTTTTTATGTGCTCGTATTAGATAGCTGTAAAATGTGGATAGGACCACCGATGAGGCTGCACCACGTGCTTGTGTAACTCCTGAGTGGGCTTATTTTGGCCCTACACATTTGACGACTGTGGGGCTTGGAGGGATGTAAATGCGCTCACGTTCACACATATTGCTATAGAGTCGTGTATATAGCAGACGCGGCTCGTAGGTTCTAAGTAGAATGAGCTCGGAGGGGTGTTGTTATAGCTCATTTTTTGCATCCGATAATCACTTGGTGGAGACGTCACTTTAGCTTCGCTCTAATGGTACACAGCATTCGATAGATTTGGTGCTATAAACTAGACCGTAGTTCCCGAAGTCACCTAGTTTCCGGATAACCAGATGTTTTATGTAATTTAGCCTAGTTTTTACAGCCCTCCCCTCTGCAGAAACGAAGAAGTACCTTCAGATTGAACGACTCGGTCTTCGCGGACTCTACCACACATGTTCGAAACAATCCTTAGCCGCACAACGCGCCGAACAGACACGTCTGAAATAAAGGTACTATTACCGGCTCGGCAGAAGGCGAATACAAGGTTGCGCAGTCTGTACTACATACTGAAGCTGGAATACTAAGTAGAATTCATATAAGATAGTAGGCGCTGGAGTCCAATGCGAGGGCTTGCGGAACGTGTGAATACATTCAAGTGAGAAGAGGTTGAGTTTATTGCAATAGAACCGGTGGAACATGTCGACTCGACTCGGCCTGCACGATTTTGTGGGACCTTGTTTTCCAATAGCAGTTTACCAGTCCATACTACCGTAAAGGTAGCTACCATAGTCTCAACTTGGTTTCATTCTTCCTCAGGATAAGCAACCAGCAGTATGCCTGCTGACCAATGAACCTAAAGTGATACGAAGGTTATTTAGCCAAATCTAGAAGCGGAACCCACACATGTCCTATTTCCGACCAAGATACATATTTTTGGGTCATTTTACTAATTTGGACATAACCTCATATTTCAGGTCAAAGATCGCCTGATCAAAATGGATCACTTGAAGCCATTGCACATCTTTTTGAAACAAGAAATCAATCGCATGCAGCGTGTCATTGATATTGTTCGTACCACTCTAATGGATCTCAAATTGGCCATTGATGGAACCATCATCATGTCGGAAAATCTGCGAAATGCGTTAGACAGCATTTTTGATGCACGTATTCCGAGCATATGGAGAAAGGTTAGTTGTCTTGTAAACTTTGATGGATACAAAAATCATCAGTATGCTCGTAAATTTTGGTAACATGTCCATCTCTGTGTATCCCAAAGAGGAAAATGAGCGGCAAAATTTCGACAAACAATTGTTTTCGATTAGTTTATCATCAGGTCGTTACAATGATAGACACTAAATAGGGAAAGGTTAAATTACTGTGCAACAGAACAATTGATTAAACGATTCAAAGTGGTTTTTACCGACATTGGTCAGGTGACTAGGTCACGAATGTCATATGAGTGCTGGGATGTGATCCCCTTTTCCGTAAGTGGTTGGCCAGGGCAATTGTAGCGGTTGAACCATTTTCCTTTGGATGCATAAGTCTGGGTTCATCAGTCTTATGCATACCGCCTCCACGGTAACAAGCAGACGATTCCTTCTGCTGTGGTTCGAGTGTGATGGTACTGTGTACACGATGTCAAAGGGGCTTGTTTGTCAACCTGGTGTCCGGTGTCTATCAGATGGTTTGTTATTGAACTGCAGCTGGTTCTGTTTTTCTGGCTGGTGAGCTAATTCGGGAGACGGTATTTGATTCTTTTACCTAGGTGTCTGGTCGTTCGTCCAATGTACCTAGACCCACGGGGACAGGTAAACCGGTAAATTATCATTGACTGGAGACGATCAGGTATTTGTTCTTCGAATCCCGAAAGAAGTCTTTCCACAGCTTTGTATCAGCCTGCGGTTACAGACTTCAGCTGCGTTGTTGCCCTTAAAAGCAAAGGTCAAAAGCAGTTGTTCCTTTTTGACCGTTTGCGTCTTTGGTTTGTTACTAATATACTTCATATGAGTGCCAATGAACCGTTCATGATATCCACTTTCGAGAAGCACTTATTTCCTCCGCCGCGGTTCGTCCTCAATAGTGTTCTGGCTACAGGTCTTATATGCGTGGTTCGTTAGGGCGTGCACTAGCTGAAATGGCAGCTTATATTGGGCCACGCTTGAGTATTACCAAATAGATGTCCGCCAACAATGGTCCTAGTGGGAATCCCATTGCAACCCCATCGATCTGTCTATACAGCTCATTGTTAAAGTGAAACTGGAAGCATCTGAGGCGTTGTTGCAAATGACAAGTTGGTAAGCCAAAGTTTGTTCCTTGCTGGTCAATGTAATGGTACAGAACCTTGACCGTTTCTAACATAGGCACATTGGCAACTAGCGAAACAACATCAAAGGAGAACATCCGACAGTCCCGGATATTCATGTTCTGGACTGTTTCGATAAACTAAAACTCGTCCGTTAGACAATGCGGGCTATCATCCAACGTTGTTGATTTGGCTTGCAGTGAAATTCGGTGGAGGGGCCTGTGTCAAGCGTTCTGCTATGCTTGTTCCTATAGAAACTGTTTTGGTGCCCAACGTCTTCTCGACTACGGCTGCAAGCCTTTCACACTTCTGGGACAGTGCAATTACGGTTTTAACTAGGGGGAGAGTATTAGACTTAACACAGAACCAAAATGAGTCAGGATTGCTGCTGATTAGCCTGCACTTGCTTGGTGTGTTTTTCCCGCATTTCGCAAGGAAATAGCTTGAGCAGTTTCCAGAGGAAACCCCTATTTGACCAGCCTATTGCACGTTCCACAGGCGCGTTTAAGCACCGCGACTCGGTTAGTAAGGCGCATCAGGGAATGTGAAGGTGTGATGGTTTGTCCTACCCAGGACCCTAGGTTGATTGATCCAGCGTCAACGTAAGCCCGCCGAGACAGATGCCTGTCTTATGGTCTCTCCATCACCCTCTCTTGCAGTCGTGCAAGATAGCGAGATTCAGCGGTACGCACACAAGCACACGAAGACGCGGCGTGTACAGTTAATCCGATAAGTCTCGCCCCGGTTTACTCTGTTACTCGGAGACCAAGCGTCACGCCTTCTGGTGAGAGGAGAGCTCACTAAATTGCCAACTGTCCAATAGTAACTGTTGGTCTATCTTAATGTCGCTTTCATCCGATCACATGGGTATAAACGACCGGCGTGATGGCCGTATGCGTGCACCTGGGTCCAGGTGCACCTACCAGTCTCGTCCATCATGAAAACGCTGGATGGGTGCGGATCGTTGAGTTGGAGTCAACTCGGTACGCCACAGGGCAAGTTCACCGATCGGTATGTTCCGTGGTTCAAACTGGTTGAAACGAATGCAGACATGCAAAAGCAAGACAGCAGTGCATGATTACCCGGCTACTGGCGTAGAATTGTGGTGGCGCTTGGATAGGCCTAACTGACTTGAGCAAGGAGTGTTCAATAAGTGTTTAGGGTTATCCCAACTACCGACAAAAGCGTTATTGGCAACGCTCTTGTAGACTGAAAGTTAGCTTCCAACAATCCACCTTAGCAAAATAGACATTCCTTACAATTAGGCCTTACAAATATGAAATGTAACGTTTTGAGAAAGAAGTCTTGAAAAGCTATGCAGCCTAAAGACTACTCGCTGCCGCATAGCCTATTCTCCCGTCACAGCCTTGAGCGTTCATTACAACATATTCACTGATGAAGCAATATTCCATTAGCATGGAACTGAGAAGCTGCTTTTCTAGACAATATCTAATCCTCATGGATACTGATATTCACTTATTCCACGTAGCGCGAAACACATTGGCTGGCAGAACTGATTGATAAATCGTGGGACCAAAGCACACGCATGCGGATTCTCATGTATACTGTCCACGACAATCGAGTTAGCCCTGTGGTAAATGTTCTGACACACATTGCTGCAAACTCCGATTATCAAATTCAAATGGATCGATAAGCCACACTTTCACTGTCTGTATTCTTATTGAGAAATCGTTGGACCATCTTTCTTTTCCTTTTATGTGACCGGTATGTTATGGTTAAGAAGGACTTATCCCACGCCGGAGTCTGTACGCCTATGAACACGATAAAAATACGAAACCGCGTAGCCTATTCTCACATCACCATCTCGTTCATATTCTCCCTGTATTTCTTAGGCATAACCATGACAAACATTTATTGACATTGTGAACCAAGTTGCATAGAAGTGGTCAGTCTAAGCGCTGTCGAATCAGCTTTGCTGGTCGAATGCGTTCTGGCCCGACGCACCTTTGACACCATTTGCCCAAGCACCAATTTAGTCCGGAAATTCCTGATAACGGTGAATACGTATATTAACATAAACAGCATAAAGCGGTGATATGTCCGTCAACGACGAAGATGCTCAATGTATCCGCCGGCATTCTACTTGCAGTGTGGAAATCGCCTGAGACAATAGGCTATAACTTTTTGCAAGGTTTTCGTGTTCATGGCACGACATGCGTTGACGACACTGCAGTTCAGTTGTTCCAGTGAAATAGGCGTTGTCTTGTAAACTCTTCAAATAACCCCATAGGAATAAATGTAAGGGGTTCAAATCTGCTGACCGCACAGGCCAATCGTTTGGACCTCCGCGACCGATCCACCGGTGATCGAACATCTCGTTAAGATAATCCCGCACTGTTTGTGCATAATGGGCACGTGCGCCATATTGAAGCTATAACGGCTGAAGTGAAGTGTCGAAGTCGCCAACGAGAATCGGTGGTAGAAGCATCTCTATGTTGTAGCTCCTACGTTACTTGCCAGCGACAGTTCCTTTAGCATGTGAGAACCATGATTGATAGAATAATGACGGTACTGCTAATTGAGTTACTTGGCAAACACGAGGTTGACGTGATATCTGCAACCAAGGTACGTGACGCTGGCATGCAAGAAGCGCCTAACGCAGCCTATTGAGCTTCAACGATTTCGTCTACCGGTGCAGTGATGCGTCGTGACACCGCTGGATGGGCAAACAGCACCACTAGCCGTGAGGTCACTGACGAAATGTGCTGTGATTTCAGAAGCAATACCCAACGAAGAATGTCATGAAACTTAGAAAGGGAGTAACAGAATGATCCGAACATGTTAGATCCAAGTGATGAAATGTACTGAGTAGCGCTCATCGAACTGGTTTGAAAGAGCGCACGCACGTGAATTTGTCTGGAGGACTGGAACGACCACAGCCAGTGAAGCGACAGCCGAGATAAAGTGTGGCCGTACGGCAGTCACTCCAGCGCCAAGCTGAACTGTTGCTTGCATTTCGGATATCTGCGCTGGACGATTCACGCGCCTCGAATGCCCACCGATCGTTTACCTGGACGTTCACTAGCTACAAGTACTACGTTTGGGTTGTCAAAGCTGATAACTAAATGGCTTTAGAAAATTCATAAGGTAGAGGGGCCGCTTCCAAGAATGCCTAGGGGAAGCTCTTCGGAGCTAGCTGAGAGCGGATCGAGAAGGACGGCTAGCGACGATTCTGGGCCCAGAACTACGGAGCGGGAATACGTGGACAGCGCAATAAATCAGACAGATACGCCGCTAGCGCAGCCCACAGGACCGAGGCCGAGCCGATTGACACAGCCCAGAACAAGCAAGTCGAGAGTTCTCGAACGACTCCTGGCCGAACCAAATCGGGTACAGAGAAGTGGAGATCGAGGCGAAAACAGGAAGGCGGGTCTTCCAAGTCAGAGCTCCCGAGGCGAAAGGACTGGCTCGTCTCTAACATCCGTACCTGTGTTGCGTTGTGGGACGGAAATCTAGTCGATATTCGATGGCGCGCGTGAGACCCTCATGTGCCCATTTTCGGTGTGCAATAAATGTCTACCCCCTGTCGTGTCGTTCTCGCTACACTGGTGCCGTGACCATTCGCGATGGAGTTGACCCGCTTGGAGCAATTTGCGGCCGGTGACGTGGAGGCGTGGCTCGATGAGTTCGACGGAATTGCGGCTTGCACAGGTGTGAGGAAAGGATGCAAATTTGCTAATTGCTTTGGGCACACGGTTGAGTGGACGAGCCAAGGCGGTGTATCTGCTCACTCGAAAAGCCAAACCCGGCTGTTCGTTCGCTGAGACGAGGGCTGCCTTGTGTGTAGAATTTGGGAAGGATCTGGAGAGAGAAAGAGCACTGCAACGATTTCACGCAGCCAGATGGGACGAACAGGAGGATTTGATGGTGTTTTTCCAGCAGCTGGACGGACATCTAACGATTGGGCTCCCCGAGTTAGAGGGCAACGCAAGAGAGTGCCTACTGAAACAGCAGTTTATCCAAAGTCTGCCCGATCCACTCCGTGATCAGGTGAAATGGGCGTCGATGGTGGGAGACAGCAAAGCGCTGGATCTGATGACGGTCGCCCAGAATTTGTCGGAACGAGTGACAGTGAGAAGCATCCAGCATGCTGATTTGGAACAGAAAGTAAATCGCCTTTCCGAAATGGTGGAGCAGCTGTTGTCGATAGAGTCTTCAAGCACCACTTCACAACGCAATGTACGGATAATCCGGAACGGTCGCCGCTGTTTCCGATGCAACCAGAATGGTCATGTGGCGAGATTCTGCACCAACGTCAATGTGGCCCATTGTTTCTCTCTATCCATGCCGAGTCGGTGGCGAGTACCAGTCCTCCAGGTAACTATAGAAGATGTGTCTGTCCGAGCCATAGTAGACACAGGAGCGGCGGTGTCAATTACGAAGAGGTTCAATGGGGTTCCAGTAAACCCATCTTCAGTCGCGATGCAGACGGTCGGTGGGCATTCTTTGAAAGTGACGGGCACGCAGCAGTTACGAATCAGGATAGGAGAAACGCTCATCCGTCATGACATGTTCATCGTGGAGAAGACGACCGAAACTATCATCGGAACCGACATCCTGAAACGGCTCGGTGTCACAATTGCCTGAGAAACGATGTGGTGATCGTGGCTAACGATACGATCGAGTTAGACAAGGGGATAACCGACCGGGTTGGTGCCCTCAAAGCCGTGTCCGATTTTCAGAACCGTGCAATACGCAACGTACTGAGCAGGTATGCCCACTTATTCACAGACGCGGAAGATGATTACGGATTTTGCAATTGGGTTGAACACCGAATACCGTTGATCCCAGGAGGACAATGCAGGCCAATCTTCAGACGGATTCCACAGAACATCCTGGTCACGGCACCAGTGTAGTGAGAACGACACGACAGGGGGTAGACATTTATTGCACACCGAAAATGGGCACATGAGGGTCTCACGCGCGCCATCGAATATCGACTAGATTTCCGTCCCACAACGCAACACAGGTACGGATGTTAGAGACGAGCCAGTCCTTTCGCCTCGGGAGCTCTGACTTGGAAGACCCGCCTTCCTGTTTTCGCCTCGATCTCCACTTCTCTGTACCCGATTTGGTTCGGCCAGGAGCCGTTCGAGAACTCTCGACTTGCTTGTTCTGGGCTGTGTCAATCGGCTCGGCCTCGGTCCTGTGGGCTGCGCTAGCGGCGTATCTGTCTGATTTATTGCGCTGTCCACGTATTCCCGCTCCGTAGTTCTGGGCCCAGAATCGTCGCTAGCCGTCCTTCTCGATCCGCTCTCAGCTAGCTCCGAAGAGCTCCCCCGAGGCATTCTTGGAAGCGGCCCCTCTACAATAAGAGAACGTTACATATTATGGTTACATTGGGAAATGGGCGGAATGTTGCGTATGCTTTCTTTCGGTTTCATAGCCCTTTATATATTGATTTTATTGCTATGACGAAGTGGGCCATATCCACCGGAATCACCTCACATTAGTGTTGTTATCATGGATAATGTTCAAATCAGATTGAAATGGCACCAAGGTGGCGCATCCATTTAACACGTGGGCCTCCTGAAGTCAGCAGTTAGGTGAACCGACTCATCGATTTTCCCACAGATCCTCGGTTCACATATACATCCGCAATTGGAATACGCAATTCAGGTCTGTCACCTATAGCTGAAGAGAGACCCTACCGCCTTGGAGATATTCCAACGCCGGGCAACCAAAAATGTCAAAGGTTTGTACTATTTGCCTCATAATCCAAGAATTCGAATGTGTAGGTCTTCAACGGACGGTATCAGCCATTGCGCGGGGACCTCATTTTGACTTGCCAAATTTTGAGAAATCCCAACCACGTGCCTCCATTTGCTAGAGCTCAGTCACAACAATAATTTGAGGGGCCACTATCTCAAGATGGCAGAGCAGTAGAATCCTTTTAAATGTCCTCGGAGTTTCTTTTCCGTACGCGTTTGCCGTACGTGGAATGCCCTTCTGGAATCTGTTATCTGTGCTCCCACGCTGGTAGAGTTCAAAGTCCGAGTTGACAGTGCACTGATTTCGCTGCACAATCTCACATGACTCATTACCCAAGGATAAACCAACGGGTCCGGTTAGCTCCCAGAATGCGTTCTACCTTCTTTACGACCCTTTTATGTTCCTCAGGATGCAGTACGCTTTAGTACCAACGTCTCATTTGACATCATTTTTTATGGATTTACAGTTTATACTACGTATACCGCAGTGAGTCCACCAGAGTAAACCTAATTTTGTTGACAATTCTTCTATATTTTGAACTTTCATCCTGAACTATTAAGATTTAGCTTTTATTGCCCGTCTAAAACCATTGTTCCATTGACTGATAAGCTGAATCGAACTCCATAGGATGTATAGAAAAGTCACAAGTTTGTCAGATGCGCTGAGATCTCCGCCATTTCTCCGCTCCAGTCAGCTTGCGAGAAGTGTTTCTCGTCGTAGAGTGTCACGCTACTGCATGTCGTCGAGGTGTTCACATGAAACTCTCGCGCGCGCGAATACCTTATTTAGAAAGCAAGTAGATATTTAAATCTGTACAATTCCCTCAGAGTATTATCAACATTGGTATAAGAGTATCTGTCACCTGTTAATACTCTAATCGTTCTTCCTGTTCATGTGTAGCGTTTTCAAATGTCTGACTCACGATATGTCAGGGCTCAAAAATGAGATGTAACTGTGGGTGAATCGAATAATCGGGAAAATAAACCCAGTGAATTTTCGGCTTCCGCACAGAGTTGGCCTCCACGACTTGTTCTGGCAGACTGCCTCAAACATTGACTACACTCTGCTCGAAACACAAAGTGTCGTACTCAATTCAGATCCGGCACCACAAGAATGCGCCAGTGTTCATTTGGAGAGAACGCTTCGTCGAGCACGCTTACATGTGCACAGTGCTGCATCTTGGCTTTCTTACTAGTCCGTCACGTTGGCGGCTAATGCAAAGTGCGGGGTTCAAGGAAGCTGCTAGTCAGACACGGACTGCATTTGCCAACAATGTTCGACTCGGTTAGAAAATATCGTGAGATGTGGGCAGTAGTGCGGAAAAGAAAGGGCTCACTCTTGCTTCTTTACCTGAAACTGTGAATCATCCATCTTTCTTTAGATTTCATGGGAAGCTACCACGCTGGGCTTTTGGTTCACGGCACTGCTCGATCGCAATGCACAATTTAGCGCATGGCTCTTCGAAGGTCGCCCACTGAGCTATTGGATGACAGGATTCTTCAATCCGCAGGTAAGTTCTATTTGTGATGAAATGTCACGTGGCTAAAATTCACCGCGTAAGAATCCAGCTATGCATACATAGTTTCTCACTGATCTGCAGAGAAGTTCGGGTGTCACAACTTTGTATCGCGGCTTTGCGAGCGTGTGGCACAGTTTGAGTGGGCTGGCGAGAGCGAATAAAAGAAGTTACTAAAATGCGGTTGCTACCGTCAAACATATAGCAGCATATGTGGTAGTAGCAGTAGCACGTATCCGCTTCAGAAAATTGCTATGCCGATGTGAAATCACACAGACGTCTTCGCTGTGCCCAAGCCATCGATGCATTCCATGCAATGGAGATTGCGCTCGTCAAACCATAGTATTGCCCGCAAAGTCGCATAAACGGTCAAAAATTTTGCAAAGAAAGTCAAAATGTTCCAAAACACTGTGCGATTCACCAACCACTCAGAGCCAACCCTCTGACCTTAAGGGTGTTCTCATTGGCCGGATGTCAAGGTTCGGTGCGATAGTCTCGGGAGGTGGGCGCGCTGCCCGTTGACTGGGTGAGACTTGTGAATGAACCTTAGAGGCATGCACTTCGACGGTGTAACGGGCTTGTATGCGCCCCCCTCACGTCCGAAATGATGGATCACAATTGGGCTGAGCGTAATGAACAGCTGCGACACAACCGCATGACTGAAACCATGTCTATGCTACTAACGTCGTCGGTATGCCTTCTCGCGTTCGCCAGAGTATCACATCAGACATTCGTGACCGAGTTTTGAGCGCTTTCGTCAACGGTGATGACTGGCAGCTGGTGGCAACTGTGAACATCGAATATCAAACAGCCTAATTCTGGATTCGTCGTTCTCTTGATCAGGAGCCGAGTACTACGCAGGCGCGTGGTCGTAAGCGGATTTTGTCGCACGAAGACGTAGATGACATCCTGGATTGGACCGCAAGGGACTCAACGCTTACGCTACGGGAAATGCGAGTACGAGTACGAGCAGAAATGGACAAGGACATTTCGAAGTCAACAATCGCAGGGCACCTAGATGGTCCATTGATAACTATGAAGAACATCTATCAGGTTCCCGACGAAATGAACAATGAGCAGGGAATTCGTTCAGCAGTTTCTCCAATTTGAGAGCGATGGCAAGTTCTTCATTTGAATTGACGAAGCGAACTTCAACGTTTACTGCAAACATACTCGTGGTCGGGCGCCCAGAGGAGTGAGGGCCTGTTGCAAAGTTGCCAACAGCAGAGGCCACAAGTTGCATTTAATTGGTGCACTCACGATGGAAGGGAAAGTGTCGACGACCACCCGGAGAGGCTCATTCACAGGTCCCCTATCTCTCGAATGGCTGCGAAGCTATTTAGACAACCTGAAACGGGAAGATGGAACTCCGGCAGGTAACCGTGGTATGTGATAATGCACCATGTCACACAGGACTGGAAGAACTGTCGTCAGTAGATGGATACGATGGAGTAACCATACTGAGATTGAGCCCATACTCTCCGTCCCTCAATCCGATCGAGAAGGTTTGGCAGGTGGTGAAGGTCAGAGTGAAGAATGAGATGATGGTGCGGTACAAGGAAGTTCTGGCCTGGGATCCTCAGAAACTCATGACGCAGATGGAATGGAGGCTGCAGTTCCTTGAACGCATTGCCAGAGCAGCCACCAAGGATATCAGCGTTGTGGGATGTCGTCATGCTATTCGATATATGCGTGTACATTTTCCTGATTGTCTAGCAAAGATGACATGTTTCGATCAGGTTGCTGGCCTATTTTTTACGTATCTGGTTGTATAGCACGTCACTGGCAGCGTGTAGGGACGTGTTAGTATTCACAGTGTTTTCAAAATATGTTTGCACATATGTAAGTTTATGTGTTCCTAGGTGGGTTGAAGCGATATCTGATGTCTAGCGGGACTGTCTTCCAGTGAGCCATGCCCGAGTGATATGTTCAACTTATGGTCCCTTTCGTGCTGATATTCGCTGTGCCGTACTCTTTCATGATCAGCCTAATGTAGATATAGTTTCTTTGTTCGGAAAACTAGGATGTTTGGAAAGCGCTTTGTAGGACCAAGTGAGCTTGCCGGATGAGCAACCGTCAGATATATCACAGCATGGGATATCAGCGTGGATAGTTGAATAGTAGTGAATAAAAAATTACTGCGCACGTCATGTCAGGTTTTTCCAAGAGTGAGGGGAACTGATAGATGCGAGTTCGCAAACACGTCCATTGCCAGACAAGATGTCGTCATTGAAGCTGAACGAATGAATCGCGTGTTTAACAAACAGTCTCTGTCCGCTGTATTTGAGTGCACTGGTGCGTTAATTCGTCACCCGATTGGAAGTTGGTCTGTCAAGTTCGGAACCCACATCAGCCGGTTCGGAAGCTGTACTTTAGCTTTAAAAGCAATCATTCCTACAGTAAGCGCAATTTACTTTACGTGTCAGAAAGGCCCGAATAGTTGTCCAGTACGACTTGGATACTGTCTTCATTGTTCGGATGATCTCTCGCTTGACCCAATAGCGTGCGTAAACAAGTGGGGGTGTAGTTGGCGTGGATACAATAGCGTAGCAACCACTTTTGCTGTCCGTGGCGGACGTGCAATTGCTGCCGCTCTCGTAGTTGTAAAGCCCCCAATTGAAATCGCCATTCAATATTTCGTTTCACATAACAACAAACACAGCTTTAACTTTGGAGTGCTGTCTTGAGTGCAGCTGTTTGAATTGTTAAAATATTCGTGTTCAAAATGTACAGGCACACTTTTCATGCACTACTTGAAGTCGCTGGTATCCGAGCTGAATAAGCACTCATCGAACGCAATTGAACATTAATGGTCGAAAATCCGGCAGACTTTGCTAGCCGCGGGTATGTCAATGTGGCAAATCAAATCGCCAACCTGGACATTGGATCAGTATGCAGTCTCAGGAACTTATAGAGGCTTGCCAACGTGTTCCGGCTGATAGCGAACACAAGGAGACTCACAAAGATTTCAGGGAGAAACTGGTTGCTCACTTGAAGAGAGACCGGGAAGCCTGGTGGCCAAGTGGTCTGCACGTCTGGTTTGCAATCATAACTATCTCGTTGACTAAGTGTTACACTGAGCCGATACCGTGGACAGGATGATCAAGTGTCACGATCGCTGATCAGCGCTTGAATTCTGGCGCCATTGGCACAAACCTCATTGCCTATCGTGCAAGTGCGAAATACTGCCAAGCAGTCGGATTATGTACGGCACGTATATCTCTCAACACTACTTGGATGCGCAAGAATCCGCTAATTCAACTTTTATACCACTTACCAAAATGGTTCTACGTTGTTAAATGTGGTACTGACCGAACATCAGATACAGAAAATTGAAATTTTATAGTCATTACTACCATCTATCTCAGCTCAGGAAATGTAGCTTGCGAAACCGAAAATTTCTCACAATTAGGGTTTTCAGACTGCAGCCGTGCGAACATCAGAACGCTATAAACTACCCACTCTGAAGATATCGTCGACGCACAAGGATACGTAAATAATAATACTGCCGTTCACATTCACTATGTGATGCATTCCCTAGCTCTCACCCTTGAACTTTGGGTTCACTGTGAATATGTTGTTGCATTTACACGAGTACCGACAATTGTCTACACTGCACACAGGACACAGTGTCTCCATTAGCGAGGTGTACAGTTTTGTCATTATTTCAGTTGCAACATTTGACCGTAGTTTAACGCTGCCAGCGGAGAACAAGTTGACTGTGTTATTCCGGACTGGCCCAACGTCGTTCACCTTACTTGGTGTCCGGCCCCAATACGCTGCGTATTTTTAACCCACTTTCATTTACCTAGTCCAACCTTGAAAATCTCTCTAATCAGCCTTGCTCATTGCGATTTGCATGAGTGCAATTGTCCACGGACGGGGTGGAGGGACATATATGGGCGTCGCACACAGAAGGTGCCACATATTACAAACCAATATGTGAACGATGCGACTAACCGGGCTAAGCTGACTTGAAATGTTGCAACCGCAATAATGACGTCGATCGAAGTAATGTTTCAGGTTGGAGTATTATAAAGAAATTTAAAACAATTAGATCCCTTTAGTAATTTGAATAATGCCGTAAGAAGACGAACACTGGCAGATGTCAACATTTCGTATTGTCTCTTCAGTGCCAACACAATAACATGAAAATATATAAAAGGTAGGGTGAGACCGAAACAAGTTAGAACAGGGTAGAGGGGTAGGCGTGACACCCCTACGCCCAGGGCAGCCGTAGGCTTACTAACAACTGTTTCTGCACACAGAGTGCGGATTTGATACGGCTGATCGCGACTGCCTTTGCAAAACGTAGGAAACGGGTGTTAGCATGTCTTATCACAATTGTAAACATTGTGGCCGGATCAAACTGGTGACAGGTGGCAAGTAAATGCCTACCTATGGATGAAGCAGGTGGTTTACGTGAACAGGTGGTATGAGCAACTGAGGACTGGGTGATTTGACGCTGCAACCATTTAGGTACATGTTCCCTTATTCTGGAATTCAACGCTCGATTGGTACGGCCGATGTAGTGTATACCACAACTACAAGTAAATTGGTAAATGCAATGTGAGTTGGTGCCAATAGGTTGTCTTTCCATCATTGGGGTAACAGGTATTCGATTAGTCCGGTTGATAAGGACAGCTTCAGCAGCATAATAAGTCCTGTGGACTGCGGAAGTTATGCGCTTCGTTGTCCTCATATTGGCAAAATCTCCTTTAAATGGTAGCTCGATGTAGATCTTCTTGTCAGACACTGTCGATACCTTCTGTCCCGGCACCCTTGCTTGACTATGTTTGTCGAAGAATCTACTTGGATAGCCATTTTTCAACAGCCTATCCTTGAGCGAGTTTATCTCATCATCTAAGCTGTCGGTAGTGCATATTTTCCTTGCACGGTTGAATAGCGTCTTGAATAAAGTCCGCTTGTACCGCATTGGGGAGAAGCTGGTAAAGTGCAGATACTGCCCTGACCAAGTCGGTTTTCGGTAAACC